CCCGGCAAGCCCACCTCCTCGGGGGGCTCGGCGTGGGGGCACCGCTCCTCCGTCTTCACCAGCAGCCCCTCGCTGGCTGCGGGGGACAGAGAGAGACCGGTCAGTCCTACCGGGGACACTGGGGATGTCCCCAGGTCACAGCTCGTCCTGGAGGGGGGCTCTCCCCACCCCAGCCCCATGGTGGGGTTCGCTCACCAGGACCAGGGCCCGGGGGCAGCATCTCCCTCTCGGGCAGCTCCCAGGGCTCCCGGACACAGGGCTCTTCCTCCTGCTTGATCCACGACAAGAAGTCGTGCGCGGTGATCAGGGCGTCCGCGCCTGCAGGGAGGGACAGGGACCGGGACGGGGACTCAGCCACGCCCGGTCCCGGGAGGCCGGGGAGGGAACGGCTCCGGTGGGTGCAGGCTCAGCCCCGGCCTCACCTGCGCAGGGGTCTGGTGGCATCCCCCGCTCCTCCGGGAACTGCTGCTCCCCCACAAACGCCACCTCCTGCTTGATCCGGGACAGGATGTCGGAGGTGGAGATCAGCGACTCTGTTCACAAGGAGAGACTTGGCCGGGGCCGGGATGGAGCCACACGGTGCGACCCAAGGCCAGCACACCCCGCAGGGTGTGACCCCTGGACTCCCTCAGGGGACATCCCCATCCCACAGCAGTTATGGGCACCCCCAGGGAGCTGTGGGAACAGGTGGCTGTGGGACAGCCCTTGGGGATGGGTGACCCTGAGATGACCCTTGGGGATGGGTGACCCTGAGATGACCCTTGGGAATGGGTGACCCTGAGATGACCCTTGGGGATGGGTGACCCTGAGATGACCCTTGGGGATGGGTGACCCTGAGATGGCCCTTGGGGATGAGTGACCCTGAGATGGCCCTTGGGGACAGGCACCAGGGAACAGATGACTGTGGCAGAGCCCATTGGGGACAGGTGACAACAGGCTGATGGGGCTGGGTGACTGTGGCAGTGGGCTCTGACACATCGTGGTGGCAGCAGGGGACACGTGGATCTCCCAGTGCTGGAGAGCCAAGATGTCCAGCAGAAGTCACGGATTTCCTGGGGTCACTCATGGCAGTTCCCAGTCACAGCTGGAGAACTGGGCCCAGCAGGGATGGGACTGTTGGGAAAGGGGTGTCCCTGGGGTGAGGAGGGTGGGGGAAGGCGCGGTGGGGACAGTGGGGACAGTGGTGACAGTGGGGACAGTGGGGACGGGTCCTCCCGTGGTGCCTCACCCGCGCAGGCGTCCGGTGGCAGCTCCCTCTGCTCCAGCTCCCGCTGCTCAGGGACACAGGGTCCGTCCCCGCGCTCGCTGCGGGGCTGTGCCTCGCTTCTGGAGAGGGCCCCATCTGCCAGGGACAGACCCGTGTCACCCCTCCCTGTCACCCCCTCCCTGTCACCCAGATTTGGGGCACACTTTGGGGACACACCAGGCTGCCAGGACCTGCCGTCCCTCCTGGCAGAGAACGCGCCTGAATCCCACGGCACCTCCATGCTGGAGGTAGTGAGGACACTCAGGTCCTGGGGACACGGACCCTCTCCGGTCCCCTGGGCAGCACTGGCATGGCACGGTGTGTCACCCTGTCCCCACACACAGCACGAGCCATGGACAGTTCCCTCTGCCATGGGTGGTCCCAGGACACAGCGAGTGCCACCACCGACCCACGCTGGGGTCCCACTGAGGGGACACAGCCATCGCTCCACGCTGCCAGGAGAGGTGGAAAAGGGACATTTACCTAGGGACAGCAAAGCCTCATAGTTCTCCTTCACCAGGTTGTTGTACAGCTCTTTCTGCCACTCCTCCAGGTTCTTCCACTCCTCCGCTGAGAAGTAGACGGCGATGTCAACAAATGTCACTGGCACCTGTGGGGACAAGACCCCGCGGCTCAGCCGTGCCCGCCGCCCAGGGAAACTGAGGCTCCCCCCACTGTCCTGCAGCCCCCAGGGACACTCTACCTTGGGGACCTCGCCCCGGGGGCCGGGGGGCAGCCGCAACACCCAGAAGTTCCTGTTCTTCAGGCGCCTCTGGAGCAGCCCGTACTCCTGGATGAGGGTGCCCAGCACGGCCCACTTGCTCTCCAGCTGGTTCCCAAATTCCATGGCAGTCTTCTCGCAGTCCAGGAGCTTCTTCTCGGCCGTGCCAGAGCGGCCCTCCAGGCTGAGCAGGCGGGTGGCCAGGAGGTCGATCTTCCTCTCCATGGCCTGCACCGTGGCCACCACGGTCCAGAGCGAGGCCTCTGCGGAGTGGAGCTGCGCCTCCCGCACGTGCGCCCGCTCCGGCAGCAGCGGCGGCTGCAGCGGCATCAGGTGAGGGGCCTCCATGTTCCACTCCTGCACCTGGGCCACGGCGAGGGCACGCGTGGGAGGAGGCCCACGGTCACCCCCTGGAGCCTCTGTTCCCCATTTCCAGGGCTTTTGGCCACCAGCAGCCCCAGAACTGCAGGGGACCCCTGTGTGCGATGCCCACCGGCCTGAGGGGACAGGGAGTGGCAGTCCAGGGTGGCCGTGGGGTCAGTGCCCATCCCTGTCCCCAGGGAACGCCTGCCAGAACTAGGCAGGTCACCATGGTGGCCCCTCCCAACTTGTCACCCCAATCCCTTGGGAGCCATTCCTGTTTCTGCCCGGGCCAGGAGNTGCTGCTGCTGCTGCTATTTTTGTTTGCTGACCCATATTCTTATCCTGGAAAAACAGAACTGTCCCCTCTTGTTCACAACCTCCCTGTCATTGATGACTTTTCAGACAGCAACCACAACCACCTCCCTTCTCCATGCTCCCTCTTCCAGGCTGGGCTGTCTCGTTTGGCCCCTGCCTGTGTCATGGAATCATGGAATCATGGAATCAATCATGGAATCATGGAATCAATCATGGAATCATGGAATCATGGAATCATGGAATCAATCATGGAATCATGGAATCATGGAATCAATCATGGAATCATGGAATCATGGAATCAATCATGGAATCAATCATGGAATCATGGAATCATGGAATCATGGAATCAATCATGGAATCATGGAATCATGGAATCATGGAATCAATCATGGAATCATGGAATCATGGAATCACGGAATCATGGAATCAATCATGGAATCATGGAATCATGGAATCATGGAATCAATCATGGAATCATGGAATCATGGAATCATGGAATCAATCATGGAATCATGGAACCCCAGCATGGGTTGGGATGGAGAGATCCTAAAGATCATCCCATCCCATTCCATGGCAGGGACACCTCCCACCATCCCAGGCTGCTCCAAACCCTTCCAGCCTGGCCTTGGGCACTTCCAGGGATCCAGGGGCAGCCCCAGCTGCTCTGGGAATTCCA